TAGTTGTCTGTCTGTCAGGGTTTCACTGAAAGTACAACAGTTTATTGCAGGGGGAATGTGGGCATATGCTGTCTGCCTTAAACCAACAAGCAGAAGGGAAGAGATAAGAGGCATTCTTGAGCGGCACAGAAACCAGACAGGAGAAAGAGCCAGCGTGATAGCGGTGCTTGTTGTTGTGATGTGTTAAATAGCTGGCCTTCAACACCCCAATCAATCGCTGAGTGAGCCACTGTGTAGCTAAGGGCCGYGCTAGATAGTCAGATGGCTTAAGCCAGTGGAGCTTGACCTTTCTTTGTGTCACAGACAACAATCATGGACATGGCCACACAGACCGGACTAAACACATAGTGTTTTTTAAAGCAATAAAGTCAAGTAGGTGTCGTAAACAGTGTCTTAGATAAAGACTTTGAGCTGATCTTATTAGTTGATCACTCCAAGAGCATTCAACAACATGGCTGGTCTTAACTAGCATCAACCTGTCTCAGTGAGTACACCAGTTCTGACCAAAATTAGTGTGTGCTAGCAGTTCAACTCAAGAAAGTGGAGCAAAGCCAAACCATCAAAGTGCATATATGACAATATCTACGAGACAATGGGAGCATTTTGCTCGTGCTCCAAGGTCTCCAGAGGCCTGCAATGACTAATCTGCAAACAATCCGCTCTACAAGCCCCATTGCAAGTGGAAGAACAAGCCCCTTGAACAAGCTGTGACATTAACAAAACACAGCAAGATAAGATACGGCTTCGTATCACGCTGTATGGAACTCCTGCCTAGATAGGAGATAAGAGCCTTTCAAAGCGTGTTTGCTGCCAGACGAATTTCCAAAGAAGCACAGGAGGTGGGGGCAAACTCAGGGCTGAAACGCCGAGAAGCTCTCTTGGAGCCAATCTCATCAAGAAWATGATCCCTCTGCCATTTCCCACTTTATTATTGCTTCCTTTTCCATTTTTTAAATGAAACCTATAAATTATTAATGACACATGCAGTGTAAATTAGAGCCAAATGGTTAAACACCATGGAGCTGTCTGTGATAAAATAAATAAATAAATAAATAAATAAATAAATAAATATCAGACACCACATTTGCCATTGCTTTAAAAAAGTACATATTTTTTCTCTTTTCTTTTATTCTGTTGTCTTAATTTTATATATTCATTTTTATGAATGCAGAAGTTACACAAAGTTATAAAATCTTAATGTCCAAACAGAAGAGTATTATTTACTCTAGCAGAGGAAATAGCCCAACACCTCATTTTAAACCATCCRTACTTTTTATTTATGTATTTTTGTTTCATATATCAACACCATCACTAAATAACAATGTCTGCCATCAGTTTTTACAAAGTATCTGCACAGCTGGATTCTTTCTTTCTTTTATATTTTTTTAAGAAAAACTGGAATCAAAGTGTTATTAAACTGAATATGTGACAAAGCACTACCCATAATGAATAGTATGAGATGAAATCATGTTCATATAATATTCCTAAAACCAATTTCTGAGTATGAATTTTTCCAAGGCACATTCCTGTTATTAAATTAATTATAGTGAAAAAAAACCCTTTGATTTCCATTCCAAAAAAAGGGTTTATGTGATTTTCAAGTCATTGCACTTTATTTATAGTCTACATGTCATTTAAAACAACATATTTTCAAGATAATCTCACATAGTTTCATGTGGAAAGACAGCATKCTTTCCTTTTAAATGTGTTGCTCACATTTGTTGTAAAATTCGTAGTTTCAAACTGGAAAGGAAAGTTTCCGTGTGGATGCCAGGAACTCGGTACGCGTCTTTGCCAGTGTCAAACCGAATCAAAGCTCATGAGAAGGCCCACGCCACCAAAGGGGAACGGGAGAGATTGGAATTCTCATTCTGTGGTTTGGAAAAAAAAAAAAAACTTCCGTATTCTCAGGTGCCAATGGCTCCGAGGCGATCCCAGCGATGAGCCAGGAACACTCCGCTGCAGAGCGAGCTCTAGAGAAAAAATGGTCACAGCAAGATCCATATTCAAATAAACTTCACTCTTGGCCCGTGCACACAAGCCATGTTGTCACCAGCTGGCAGTGGATCTCACCGCCCCTCCAAATGCTGAGCCACTTTTGATTAACGTCTCTTTGGCTAATCACGAGTGGTGGCTGTGCCAAATTGGACAAGCTGCGTATGGCTTACATTTGCCTTGAAATCTCTTTTTCTTAAAAAAAAAAAAAAACTCATACAAAAGCATTTGAGAGCCTCACATTACACCGCCTACCCCTTCCCCTAAGTCTTCTCTTGTCTGCTGTTCATACATAGACCAGAAAGGGTGGTGTGGTGGCATGATGCCATCCTGTGGGTCTCTGAATGAGAGGCCTATCTCTGCCAGATGCACMCAGCTGCATAAATGTTATTCATTTTTTATGGCTTGTGTTCATAATATGACCAGTGTGAGGGATCGTGAAGTTCCACCAAAGCCAGGAAAAATCCTCAAAATYGAATCAAAGTGGAAGACTTATTTTGGCCGGCAACTGCTCTGGTCCTCCTCGCTTTCCTTCTACTTTAGTCCCTCCCCCTACACTTGCTATTTAAAATACTTCTGTGAGTCATTCACAGCATTTTCCTTCTGCTTAGCTACTGGCTTTTCTCTATGCACAGCAGGGCCGACGGTGGTGTGAGACAGCTGGAATACTTGTCATAGGTCCAGAGGTGCAAAGACATTAGACAGCACTTTGTCATCAGGGTCTGGAATTCACACCATTTAGCTGTTTCCAAGTCAGCTCCTTAACCAGTGACTGGCCTGGTTTGTGTCAGCTGCTGCTCTGTTGACATAGAGGGCTAAAAAAAGATGGCAACATGAAGGATGTGTGCTGCTAGCCTTTTTAGGCGGTCAAAACAACACGCACTCTACAAAGAGAGCTGTGACAGAGATCCACTGCCAAAGCCCTTGACTTGGTGCTCTCTCACTAAAYTCACTCTGTTCAGATATAGTTTAGTGGTTCAGAATGGCTCTTGTCAGGGTTTGCTAACTCCCGCAGAGAGATAAGCTTGAACTTTGAGCGGAGCCACGGCCTCCCAAATCACCAGGCCCCGCGCAAAGACCCCAGCAATCCAAATGTGATCATGGCAAGGGCCTCCCATCTCATTACCAATTTCCATTTCAAAACAGCCTTCAAATGAGAACTAATGCATTCGCTCTCAGTGGAGGAAAAAAAAAGTCAAGGGAGCTTCAACATGTCAGCTCAGAAATGCTTTTATACATGTTTTATCAGTGGGGGAAAGAGGGACTTAAAGAGAAAAGAAGCTTGGACTGAACCATTCATTTCTTGCCCATCCTATTAGCCTGGCACTGTGTTATTAGCTGCCATTGTGCTCTAAAAGAAGTCCCATTGGCCTGTTCCACTGCTCGCTGTATCAGGGGGTGAGTTATGTGCCAAGTGATTTTGGGGGTATTTGAGAGCATGAAAATTCAATCCCAAACCCTCAACAGTGAGGTTTCTCTCAGATAAATGAAGAGGATTAGTGGAACAATTAAACAATGTCGTGCCTCAAATACCACCATATCCTATTAATTGGAATTATATAGGGAAAAAAATGTGAAGCAAGTAAAAAAAACAGTCTGTTTTTAACAAACTGCTGTCATAGTAACAATGTTGGATCAAACAGTGAAWTTTTTAAAAAAATATAAAGCTCCTGAGACATAAAATAAAGCCTAAATACATGTGGACTAAATCTGAAAAGGAGCTGATAATTGCAAACATTCTGATAACCCACCTTTGGTTTGATATGCTAGACAATGTGTCAATTGATTCCCATCTGATAATAGACTGTGTGCTGAAATAAACTGACCTTGCCAGACGATGAGTGAAATTGATGGAGCTTTTCATCTCCGGAGGGCCCTTTCACACTCGGCAGTAAAATAGATAGAGCACAGGACAGAATGATTGAATGCAGGGGAAATTTAAGATGTATGTTTTTCTCTATACCAAAGCTCTGCTTGGTAAATAATACTTATAGAAAAAAAATCTTTACACAGTAACAAGTACAGGGGTTAAGCACCTGTTGTTCCCAATATTATTAGGAGTAAAAGCGCACAGTGGTAAAGTGAGGCCGGCCACTGACAGATGCTACCCACACAAGGAATATGTGGTTCAATTACCAGGAGCCTGAATTGAAAGTGATAGTGATTTGAGTCTTCCCAATATGCCAGCCGCATTCTGGCAAACAGTCTTTTCAAGGAGCCATTTTAAAAACCCTGCTGGAGTGTGTGAGACACAGGAGCGCCATTGATTTTCAATAAGATCTCCTAATGACCTGGCCATGGTTTGATCCACGCTGTCATTACGGGCTGCTGCCAAGGGACCGAATTGTGAGCCTCACAGCACAGAGCCGCGAGATGAGTAGTTGGGAGCGTTATCAGGATGAATTGGCTGTCTCTGGACGGGCGGCAAGCACAGCCGAGGTCTTGTCAATAACAGGACGGGGCACCTCAGGACTCCCTCCGCGGCCCACTCCAGAGCGCCTTCCGGCCTTATTAGAAAAGCAGATGAGTGGTGTGCAGGAGGAGAGGAGGTGTAAAGGAAGAGAGGGGAGCATCTTCTTCAACACCCAGTAGCCTTCCTCACAGGCATTGCTTCTCCTAATGAGTCCAGACCGCAGGTCAATACGCCGCTGGGCTGCCAGTCAATACCGGTTACCTGCAACACAAACACTCAAAACCTGCTTTCATACAAAATCAATGTTCTATTAGTCCGTCCCTGTATTGCCTTGGCCCAATCTCATTGATCCCCTCTGAAGAGCTCTGCAGCCTGTGTATGACAGATTATGGTCAAATGATCTGATGGCCTAGGCTACTCTGTCATCCAAGTCAGTTGCCTTTATGATTTGAGCGTAATAACTTGATTTAAAATGAGAAAATACTCTATTGGCAAAGCTATCAATTTCATATAAATTTATCACTCAGTAGGTTTGGCACATACAGATTTACTACTTCTTTTAAGCAGCATGAAAAATAGGCAGGAAAAAAAATGACAATAGGTCCAAACTTTATTCCGTACATTTTAAACCATGAATGCTCATTTTCCTTTTTTTTTTCACGCCTAAAACTCTACTTGTTTTGTATACAAGAGTCTAAGAAAAACAACTGCACAACACCACAAGGTTGACAGAGAAAGTCCTTTTGCTGTCCACTAAAAAGTGTCCTTTTCTGTCTGAGGCTGGTCCAGTTTGTGACTTGGAAGTCGTAATAATCCCATCATTATTTCATTGGTACATATAAACATGTGCTAATCCAAGTTTCTCTCAATTTCACCAGTATTGTAAGTTTCTCCCAGCAGATTTCTTCATTAGGGTGTTGTGTACTGCTTTGCATAGATTGCAGATGATCCATTCAGGCCTCCGTACAACACCCTCCTTACTTCCCATCTTTTGGCCGGTTTGTTACAATGATTTTCATCAGGCAAATATTTCCACAATTCATTTAATTTTGTTTTTCTAGAAATGGTTAAAAAGACTAATAAATTTACAATGCGATCTTGCAGCAAAGAATATCAACAGGTTATTTACATCAGTTTTCTTTACAGATCGAACAAAGATCTCATAATATTTATATATTTATCTGCATATCTCAAAGGCAAAAMAAATGAACAAAAACAAGTTGGTAATGTAGCACTGTACATTGTCATCTTTGAGGATATCTTGGTACCATGAGGTTTAATTACTGACAKTGGAGCTCAAAGTCAAGTCTTTACATCATCATAAGGGATATGTCTCACAATCAGCTGGGATAAATATTGTAAAAGGCAGGACTAATGCACAAAATACATAAAATTCATAGAAATGATATCTATACATGGAACAAGGATAGGAAATGTACAAACTCATTTTAGGACCCTTCTTGTCGGCACAGAGCAGAAAAAGTATTGGATTAATATATTAATAATTATCAAATATTTAAGTCGGAAATAAACCTACACATATTTGTGTTCTCTTTACCGACATTTTTTATTCAGTACACTAAAAATAAAGTCATGGCATGTGCTTCATCAGCCTTACACACCTTTACTTTGTACAATCTTACCCTTTCTCTTAGGAGGTTTTGCTCTGTCCTGGTGAAGAGCAGTGCATTTTGTTCACAAGATTCCAGATAGGAGGAATGGGGTTTGAGAGTGCGCCTTCTAAGAATTTGTGCACTGTGCCGAGAAGCTACCGAGCCTCTACTTCTTTGGGGTTGCGAGATGGGGAGTAGTCCCTTGGGTCTTGGGTTGTAGTGAGGGGGGTAGTCCTCCTGGGTGAGGCTGGCCTAGCACTGCCGGCTGGCACAAGTGGTGGGGGCGCACTTAGTGCGGCGGTAGGGGGTGTTCTGTTCAGAGGACCGTTGTGTCCCGTGGAGGGGCTAAGCCTTGGATAAGGCATGCCTCCTAGGTGAGGCATAAATGGGGGCATGTGGGGTAAATGACCCTCCATTGGGGACTGGTGTAGCTGATGGAGGCGTGCTCTGTCCAGTTCCTCCCTCAGGTGAAGGCGCTCTCGTTCCTCGGCCTGCTGTCGCATCCTCTCGTGCTCTCTGCGGACCTCCAGGAGGTGCTCGTGGTGGGAGTAGTCGTGAGCCTCTCTTTCTCGGTAAGCCCGCTCCTGCTCGTAGACGCTGGGGGGGAAGCGATGTCCTTGCTCGGCTCTGAGCTGGAAGTCCATGCGCCGCTGCAGGTCCAGGCTGCGGTAGGCCTCTCTGAGCGGGTCCCATGGGAAAGCTGAGGGCGGTAAGCGCTCTCTTCCTGCCAGGGGGCTCACTCCCATGAAGGGAGCCATGCGGGCTCGGTCCAGCACATTGAGACTCCCCATTTGGGGCATGCCACTCATGGAAAGTGGAAGAGAGTGTGCCATGGGGACACCGTGCAAGCCAGGTGCRGGGATGTCACTACTACGAGGTGACGGAAGAGGAGGCTGCTGGGACAGAGGTGGATGGTTGTGATGGGGGTTTCCTGGTTGGCTGATCGGTACCGGGAGAGTGTGGGGGGGCGGTTGGGGTGCTGGCTCTGAACTCACCACCATCACCTCTTGCTCCTCTTTCCTCTCCTCCTTAATTTTCATGTCGTTTTTCACTTTGTGGAGGAAGTCTGTAGGCGTGGGCTCTTTCCTCTCGATGTCCTTGAGAGAAGACGGCAGCCCACCCGCCATCTTCAGACCCTGCTCACTGATCAGTGCCTTAGAGTAGGGCGAAGGCGAGCGCTGAGCAGGTTTGATGGAGTCCTCCGAGGGTCGCCTCTCAAGCATCTCCTTGCCCGGTGAGCGGCTCTCCTTCACCTTCACRTCAGCTTGCATGGAAGACTCTCTTTGGCGCTCCAGTAGCTCCTTTTCTGCCTCCCGGACCCGGTCCACGCTGCCACTGTGGTGCCGACCTGAATCGTTCGAGTTCTGGCTGTTTGATCGGATGAGGCTGCTGATTTGGTAGCTGACCGGTGCTGATGCTGGAGAAGAACGGTTGGAGTGACGATTGCGATCCACAGAATCCCTGTAATGGCAACATTTCTTATCACTCAATGGACTTTGACTTGCAGATATTCATACAGTTTTATGTTACAACAGTAAAATATGACTATTGTTCAAAAAACAAAAGTTACCCCGCTCCTATCTACTGTTACTGTTAGTAGAGAAAGTTCTTCTTGTAAAGATTTTGACAGAACAAACTGCATGCCCAGCTGCAGGAAGTGAAAAGCAGCCATTGTCATTTCACCTGTGCTTTCCCTACATTTTCAGGTCAAAAGGTCTGCCATGAAAAACCCTGTGTGGTGTAAGATAATGGCACGTCAGTTTCCGTGAAAAATAAAAAGTCTAACTACAGACGAGTCATGCTTTTGTTTCCAGATCTAAGCTCATCCAGCACAAACGCTAAAGCTAGAAGGAGACAGCCTCATTATTAGTTCATCTTCACAACTGCGGTGATGTTAAGCTTTTAAGTAGATCATTTCATGGATTTTATTTTATTTAATTAATATTACATGATCAAATGTGCTACTTCCATACAAAAATACAGGGCCTTTATACAATTCAGTCAAATACAGAGTCAAATTTAAAACCGTTATTTTTGCCTTGACTCACCTGTCCTTGTCCTTCTCTTCTTTACCAATGGACGAGTCTCGTTTCTCCCTCTCCCTCTCCCTCTCTCTTTCTCTGTCGTGGCTGTTGGCTGAGCCGCTTCTCTCCGTGTCTGCCGTTTTGGGCCACTGCGGCGGGGTGGGAAACGACGGCGGCGTGCGTCGAAGCCTATTCCAGGTGTCGTGGTGGGGGCTGCCAAACGTGGGCAGTCCTCCTGGACCCTCCTTGGAGCCGAACACGCTGCTGGACCCTGAAGGGAAGAAGCAGACAGGCGTGGGACCCACTCTGAGTTAATTGGGCACAAAAACCTTCTTGAGGACACATGAGAAGAGAAAAAGGCTCGAAAACAAAAAAACGGCTTTTGTCTTTGTCTCTCGAGGTTCTCACACAGAAGCTGTTTGAAAGAGTTAGAGGTTAATGCCCCAGCCAACACAGAAACCCCCTCTACTCATTTGCTTTTAGACTGAAGGGCTTCTCCCCCCCTCTCTGTTTTTTGCACCGGATGAACAGGGGGAGACTAACTTGCCCTCTGGACTCGAGAGCTGTGAAAAGCCAAGGGAGACCTCAGCATTCCACAGCACGTCTATTCCAATCACATCCATTTTCACAACAGGGTGACTGATTTGGCACACAAAAATAGGAGGAATGGAAGAGAGAGAGAGAGAGAGAGAGAGAGAGAGAGAGAGAGAGAGAGAGGAAAGCATAGAGAGAAAGATGCGGGGGGGAGGGGAACAGAAAACCCTCCATGGAGATGCAGAAGGGGCTTGTCAAATAATTAATAGATGAAATACCACCAAACAGCAGACCTAAGAGCGCCTGTTGGCAGCAGCACAGTCAGATTAAAGCCAGGCTGTTGGAAACATCAGTGGTGGATGAAAAGTGGAGGCAGGGAGGAGGATTGCTGTGGTGCGTGTTGGACTGCTTTGTTTGGCCTCCCTGGACGAGTGCTGGTTTGACATATAAACTAAAGTTAAGCATCTATTTTTTTTCCTTCCCTTCTTTACTCTCCCTGTGGTCTAACACGGTCCTGCTCTCTGCTGGTACTGGCCACAAGGGGCCAGATTGAAAAAAAAAGGTGGGGGGCCAGTGGAGGAGGAGAGGGGGTGGGCCAGCGCTTACCAAGCGAGGGGTTGCCTAATCCTCCGAAGGCACTGCTTGAAAGGTTGCCGAGGCCGCCAAAGGAACTGGAGCGACTGAAAGGATCTGCAAAATGCCAAACAGGGATTAGCAAATGGGGGGAGCTGGTTAGCAGTACTCACCCCAACACCAACCCGTTTCACTCAGCTTTTCTCTTACAAGCGAGTTTCTATGTTTTTTTCTCCTTTTAGCGCTGCCAACCTAGCTCTCTGTCTAATCCTGCAGTAACCAGGATCCTGGATTCTGCGCCACTAACTAGATGTGCCTGACCCCGCAGGGGCGACTGGAACAAATCTAACACAAAAATGAGTTTTTGCCTTTTTGGAGAGGAGCTGGGAATGGACTGGTGCGGGAAAAGGGGGAAATTATGGGCTGTTTAGATGAGGCTGACTGAAGTGGAAATTCAGTGAGTGATGGACTGTTCTAAAGCAGACTACAAGCTCCAGATTCACAGGCAGAACCCAAAGCACGAGCGACATTCAGCAGCTGATTTTAAATGAATATTCCATCAGGAAAGGAGGAACTTATTAAGAGATTAGTGATAGAGGATTTTCTTGTCTTTTGTTTAAACTCTAGGGCTTGTTAATGTCTTTTAGAAAAATAAAAATCTCCTCTGCCTCACACATAAAACCCCCAAATGAGAATTGCCTTTTTTTAAGGATTAAATCTCCCTTTACCTCTTATATAAAGTAGAAATTTAATGGACTCTTTAGTTTCATTGTATAATATTAGTAAAAAATAAAATAAAAATGAGTAAAAATAAATAAATTAAATAAAATGGTAGACTAATATGAAAGACACTTTGCCACAAGAAAACAGTGTTGTATAAAGTACCTGAAAGTGATACTTGAGTAAACGTACAAGTATCTTATCATAAAATAACTTTGGTAAAAGTTAAAGTCTCCTCTAAGAATATTACTTGAGTAAAAGTCTAAAGTATCTGGTTTATTTTGTACTTAAGTATCAAAAGTAAATTTCTGACATAAAATGTACTTAAGTAACAAAAGTAAAATTATCGAGTAAAAATGAACTCAAAATACATTTATTGGGGTGATCCCTCCCAATAAATGTATTTTGGAAAATCTTCAAAAAATATTTTTTCTAAAGGCATGCAGCCTTGATGGATTATGTACAAACTAATACAGTATCAGAATGGTATATATTTATACTTCTCATCCAACCACAATTGAGTTTACTCTATCCAGGAGCCACAGTTTTTCAGGATAGTATTTTTTTAACAATAACAAGCTGAAATGAAATAGGAGAAACGACTTTCTACTTCTTAACTTTTTAAGAAATGTAAGGAGTAGAAATTACAGATAATTGTGTAAAAATGTAAGGAGTAGAAGTAAAAAGTAGGCTGAAAAATAATTACTCAAGTAAAGTACAGATACCCCAAAATTCTACTTAAGTACAGTAACAAAGTATTTGTACTYATTTACTTTACAACTCTGCAAGAAAACAGTGCCATGTGTGAGGCTGCACTGCATATAGAGGGTCCAAAGAAATGAAGGGTGACATCTTGGTCTGGAAGCAACATTAAAAAAAACAAATAACAGTTATTTTAGGTTGTACTATGACTCATTTGTGCTGATTGTAGAATAACGACACACTCCAGCRCTCTAAACGACAAGTCTGCTGAAGTGCTGTGGCTGGTTGTGGTCAACTGCAGTCTATATTAACCTTGACATGAACCTGAGCTCAAAACTATACTGTATATCTATGATTCAAATTACAGTATAACCTGGCTGCTTTTACTGCCATTGAAAGACAAAAGAGGGAGTGAGTGGATATACGAGAGAGAATGAAAAAATAAAATAAATTAAATTATTGAATGCCAAAAAAAAAAAAGGGAAACATGTTACTTACACTTACCTGCCAAATGGCTAGGAGGCAGGAAGCCGCTGGGATGAGGGGCGGGGCCAAAAGGCGAGGGAGCAGGGTGTCCAGAGCCTGAGGACAGACAACATTAGCATTATTATTCAACCAAATCATAACAAACTCTCAGAGGAATGATCTAAAGACAAACAAAATGTCACTYCTTATCAAAAGCAGCCGTATAGAAGTAATAAAATGCAAATGTGAGTAAATACCAACAAATATATGCTGATAGCATTACAAATAAGTTGATTATGAAGACTAGAAGAGCGAAGCCATGGCTGAGTAATCACGGAGATGCCATTCATATTTTCCTTTTATTGCAGCAACTGCCTTTTTCTGCTTGAATCTATAGCAGCATGCAAGGCCAGCTGTTTAGCTTGGAACTAAATGRCTTCCTTTACAAAACGCTGGTACTCTCGCCCATATCCCATGAATTGTTAATGAAAGAGCCAATTACATGAATGCCTCTGACAAACCACTGCATAATTACCAGTCAAAGGCCGCTCTCCTTTCTGTTGCCCTCCAATGCAGGGCAAATCAGTCAATTACCTAACTGAGACTCATGCATATTCATGGACAAATCTGACTTCCTCCACTGGCAAAACATTCGCCGCAAAAGCACTATAATTAAGTGAGCACTATATGAGAAGAATAAAAAAAAAACCTGACACCATTTCATCAGTGGTTTGAGATGAGTTTAAAAATGCTCATTTGCATAAAGGCAAACATGGCAATAAAAGGCTTTAGTAGAGAGATCTTTTGGTTGTTTTTGAATGATGAAGATGTGTTGGTACTGTGACCCCCCCCCCCCCCCCAACCCCCTCATGGCTGACCTGTGGAAGGGAAGAGGGGTCGTGCCAGGTCGTGGGGATATGGGAACCCCGGGAAGACTCCTGGGGCTGGGGGTCGACTGAACAGGTCCAGCTTCCCATTCATGTCTAGTTTGTGAGGGTCAAGCTGCATTTGCTGTAGTTGAAAATAAACAAAACAAACAAAAAAGAACAGTTATACACACACACAAAAAAAAGAGTGCATTTCCAACAGCACAATGAGTGGCATTTGTTTCCAACAAAGAGACAGAGAGAGATCAGGGTGCTGAGGCATCAACAATGGCTACATGTCTGCAGTTCTGGCTAGCTGTGTTGTGACATGTATGTAAGCTGATTAGGAACACTAAATCCTTGATGACAGGGGTTCAGGACCCAAGAAGGACTGACACCACTAGGCCAGTGGTTTTACACAGTCTTCCAGTCTTATACACACATACTGCTTTTTCACAAGTGTAGCTGTTTAGCTATAAATTTAAAGCAGAGACCTGTATTTTGATTACCATATTTATTGGTGTATAATACGATCTCATGTATAATACAACCCCCCTTTTTTGAGCTTAAAAAGCATAAAAAATTTTATCCTCAAACTACCTCCAATTTCATACAGACTTCAAGATTTTTCAGCCTTTGCAGTCTTTATACAYATCAGTAAAATGATCATTGGACTGTTCATTTTACTTTAACAACATATGTACTAAAAGGTATTTTGACAACAAATATATATCAGCTGTAGCAGCATCATATGAACTCTGGATTTTACACATAGTCCACCAGGATGTGCCAACACAAAAGTCAGAGACTTCACATGAGATTTGGGCCATCTTGTGGGGGAAAAGCAGATCACTTCCTACTCATGAGCACCCCCCTCTGGTGGGGAAACGTTTTTTCAGAGATACAAACTTTTTCAGAACACCGGTAGACGGCAGCCATTACAGAAGAACATGTGTTTGTTCGAGGAGCGGCTCAGTCACACTCTAATGTCATTAGTTCATTATCATTACTAAGGTGCAAGACTACACCCCACCTTTTTTTCACATCATGTCGCCTGCTTGGATCTGTTATTATCTTGCTCTGAAGCACAGAGTGTCAGAGGTAAGCTCGTATCAACTGATTTTACGACGTGGTCTCATTTCCGGACTCAATAACTTTGTGAAAGAAGCCGATATTTCAGTTAAAATACATAAGTAAAAATGTTTATCCGAGTATAGTACTATCCCCCAACTTTATGGATGATTTTATGGATTTAATTTTACGTATTATACTTGAATAAATACGGTAATTGCTCTTTTTTTAGCCGCTTTTAGCCTTTAACATTTGTTTACAAAGTGGAGCATTAATTTTTTTAATGCAAGATGCACATCATCGAGGGCAGAAGTAAAATTATTTTGCATCTTTTTGTTTTCATATGATCTGCCTTTTTTCTTCCCTAATGGGCTTTTTTGAAACCAGAGGTATAATTGCAGATAATTAAACAGTTTATGTTCCAACTCCAACATGATCAGACCTATTGTGTGCTTGTTATTCTTTTGGCTATTACCTCATCATCAACAGAATGCGTCCAAATTTTTGCACAAGATTTCTGAAGGACAAAATTATCCATCTGACGCACCTTCATTTTCTGCTGGTGGTGGTAGATCTGCCATGCAATCTGGACATGTACTGCACACCACTTGCCAGGTTTCTAAAAGTTTAGAGAGAAACTGAGGTTAGCCTGCTGGCTTCAAGGCGGGGGAGCTAAAAACTGGATTCTGGCGTTGCCGTTTTCTGGCCAAACAACAAAGTGGGAGGCTAAATGAATCTTCAACAAAGCAACAAGAGTAATAAAATTTATGACTTTAACCCAGTTCGGACTTTAAAGCTAATCTCAATGCATGTGCTTGATTGTGAATTGTTGAGCAATTTGAGGTTTTGAACTTTGTGGCCTGGCCAGAGAGACAAAGCATTTTACAAACATCAATCAGTCATCTACTTACCCTCACAGATGTCCTGAATGGGTCACTCATCTAAATGGACAACAGATAATCATTAACTTCAACAACATGGACATAAAGACAAACAGTCAAAACCTGCAAAATCCTCATTATCAGACACATACATGTGTTCAAAGAGCTGTCTCGTCTGAATGCAAACACTCGTATTGACTTCCCTCTGATGGGTATATGTATGTATGACAGCTGTATGCAGCTTTAACCCCTTAACTGACGACACTATCGACTTAGATTTAAACCCAGAGCCTCACAGGGGACTGTTAAAGGGTTCCTGATGCACCAGAGTTGGAGGAGACTAACTGATGTGCTTTCAGGCTCATGCTTACCCGTGGATCCTTCTGTAGCAGAGTGTGAGGGACTGCTCCGGGACGTGCTGCTACGTCGATGGGATTAGAAGCCTGGTGAAGACAGAGGGAAAAGAAGCATGGTGAAAAAAAAAACAGACTGAAGGAAAGAAAAACACAAACATTCCTGTAAAAAAATGAATGAAACTAAAGAGGAAAAATGTCTTTTGGAATGGTTTATAAGTTTCAGTCTTAGATTGTTTTTAACTTGTGGTTACATTGGTCCTTTGGTTAATTAGCTTTATTAATTTTATTTTAAAGTGAAACAGTGTTTAGAGCGGTCATCTCTCAGCCAAAAGGTCGTAGGTTCACCTCCCAGCATGTAGTTTTTCTGTGTGGGGTTCACATGTTCTTCCTGTGTGCATGTACAGTATGTGTGTTATTTATTTATTTATTTATTTCCTTTATTTAACCAGGAAAGTCCCACTGAGATTAAAAACCTCTTTTTCAAGGGAGTCCTGGACACTCAGCTGTTTATTTCTCATTAGGTTTCTATGCTGTCTGTTTTTTGTTACGATCAGATGATTGTCTCTCCTCCTTGTATCCCTTCACCATGTCTGTCCCCGTGTCTTTGCTTTCTTTTGTGCCCTTCAGATCTTTTTGATTTTCCTGATAATACTGTGCCTTTATTTATTTTTTCTTATTAAGCTGTTGTTTGCCTTTCATCTGTGTCTCCTGCCTGTACGTGCTTTGGGTCCTTCRCCATCTACATGTCCTTTTTTATATAGAACATTTAAATGTCTTTTTTTWAACTTTCAACATACCTTCTTTCATAACGAATGTGGTTTGAACAAAAGTACTTGTCACTTTCACCATCATTAAGTTGAGTAAACAWCCATGCAGATGCAAACAACTATACATTTTACAGCTGGGTGATTTGGGCATGATACATCATTATTTTTTCCCCTTCAGCATTGATTTCAAATCTGACCCTTCCTCTGTAAGAATATAACTTACAAATCTTTAATCACTGCTAATATATAACTGCACAGTGTAGATAAAACCTCCAGCCCACCTCCAAGGATAYTCAACAGTGGGTTTTGGTGCAAAAGAGCCATCCTTTAACCATCTGGAGTGACCTTGGACAGAAGGGTCCCACCATGGCTGAGCCTACTGGGAATAGGACCAATGGATTTAGGCCAGCTTTGATTGGCATTTTACTGCAGGTCAGGGCCTTTGAGCATCTGCCAGGCAGACTTACACTCCCCTACCTTGCACATCCCCTACATAATCTCTTTATTTTCTCTCCTAAAATGACACACATCAATTGTTTGTCTTTCAGTAYGGACGATTATGAAGTGGTTCAGCAAAAGCCCTGACCCTGGTTTAGGTCCAGTAAGATTGAGTAATATTTTAGAGGCTTTAGTGAGATAGAACAAAATAAAATAAAAGCAAATGTATTAARGTTTAAATATCTTATTGAGCATGTTTTCTTTTTTATATTTATTGCGCTGACGAAGCTTTCAAGCAGATCTTTTGATGAGGCAGGTTTTCTGCTAATGGTGGCTTTGTTTCTAGTATTAAACAGTTTTTATCCATATAATTCACAATAAGCTATGCCATTTCTTATTCTTATGTATACACACACACACACACACA